AAATTCATACGATTTTAAAGCAGGGAGGTTTATTTATTTTTTTAAAAAAAGAAGCTTTAATGAAGCTGAACAGTTCCCTTCCCAAATCTGTAATATAACTGTAGCACATAATGCATTAAAAAAATTAATCCAAAGAGAAACACTGATTTACAGTTCTAAACATCTATCTGTAACATTATATTGATCAGCTCGGTATATAAATAGTTTAGAGAGCAATCACCCACATCCTTGTCTGCCTGCCTTCTCCTTCTTTCTCAGGTAAACTGACAGACTGCCTTCAGCTATAACAGGGCTCTGCATTTCTTCAGGCCAGAAAGCAGGAAGGTTACAGCTAAATAACTAGAGCAGGGACAACACACACAAAGAGACTGTTGGAAAGAAAGGATTCATTGTGCCTCTTAGCTCCTCTCCCAAAGGCATTTGATATTTGCCTCAGGCAAGCAGGTGAGCAGCCAACTGCATCCCTCATCTTGATCTCCCTTGTTTTCCTCCCTCCTCAACTGTACCTCAATTCTTAACCAGCAAATCTCAAAAGAGTGTTTCCTATATTAAATTTCAAATGCATTTGAGCCACAAGCATGCATACTGTATTTAGAACTATATGTAAGGTGGCCAGTGAAGACACCAGAATGAGGCTTTTGGTGCAGAAACCATTTGGCTAAAAGATCCAACAATCTACAGAGCAGTCTTGTGGGATCCACTTAATATTTTTTTTTTTTACTGACAGAAAGACAAGCTTGGACTGGCAAAAATAACCCACCCTGCTTTCCTTAGTACCACTACCACACATATTCAATCTTTCCATCTCCTCCATTATTTTTCTTTCTCACTTTCCTAGAAATTGATCAAGAATTTTACCACAAAACTCTGAAGTTAGCCAGCTATTAATTAAATTGTACCAATTAAGAATAAAAGGCTTTGGGATAAATAACTAGCTCAAAACCAACCATGTCAGAGAATTTAGGTTTTTCTTATTATGAAAACTACTTGGGATCAAACCCATGTTGATTACTGAAAACAGTGTTTGTAACCTTGCTGAAAAACGCTGACAGCAGTGTGAGAACAGCATCTTTCACACCTGGAGGCATGCAGGCTAACAACTGGGGCACACACACATCAGACCCGCAACTTCCTCCTCTCTCTGTTGCCACCTCCCAGCCCTTGCTGCCTGAAGGTAACTTTCTCTATCTGCCTAATGGTAGAGTTAGCCCTAAGAATAAATTCAGCCTGTGGAGTTGAAACCTCCTCCATAACTGTTCCTCTGAATCCTTTTGATATTACACCTTAAAATGAGGCAGTGAGATGTGTTGTGTCCAATTTTAAGTACAACACTCCCCCTTAAAAACAAACAAGCCCCAGACTGGATAAAAATTACATATGCAGGAAACTATCTAGATTTGTGTCTATTTGAATAAGTAATTTCTGAAGGGAGACAGTGACTGAAGGCAGACCATCTCGTCAATTATTTCCCGAGTCCTGACTCAACACACGCAATCCAATGTTTATGTATCTTTAATTCCTGTTATTGATTTACCTTGTTACTTATAAATAGCAGAGAAGGTGCCTCCACAGATGCAAAATTCAGACTCTGGGGCTTATCCTTTAAATTCTGCTTCAATTATCATACTCTTTCATCTTTCTGGGTACCAAACAAACAATCAATTAAAATATCCTTCCTTCGCTATGTATGGGTAGAAATATTTTAGGCTTCTCCCACATCCAGGGTGCTAAAAGGAAGAACGCCCCTCTCATGTTTTACCAGATTTAGCCATTTAACTAATTCTGGAGAATTTCTATGGGGGGGGGGGACTAACCAAGCTAAATTTTCCAACCAGATATATTGATCAAATTACAGCTCCTTTGTAGCTATTGAAGGAGCACTTCATAGATGTCTATGAGTGCACCACAAACTATTTTAACTAGGACACTGGTAAGAACAAGAATAGGTTAAAAACAGTGGCTGAGAAGTAGCCTCCTACTTTTTATATACTCTACTGTTTAATCTGTGCTATTTCCCAATAATCATCATGCACATTTTAAATTCTGGTTGCTTAATAAAATTCTCCTTATGAATAGCTTGGTGTGGAATACTCAGTCCAATCTGTGTCAGGAGGCACTATCCTCCCTTTGTCTTTGTCTATATGTGCGCCTTCCATTTGAGGTATTATTGGAAGTAAGGATTTATTTTATTGGTTTTGCTGGGTGATCAGGGTTATTATTTTATCTTTGTAAACCACTTAAAGTAGTGTCCAATGGCAAGTCAGCAGTATATAAATCTATGAAAGAAAGAAATATTGCCACAATACCAGGATCCCTTATGAGCTTGTCTCAGAACATGGGTGAGTTCATGCATGGGCTCTGGCAGCATACCTGGTAACACTTCCCAAAAAACTATTCCTGCATGAAGGTGTAATTTCTATGGCGTTTCTCAGTACTGCTGCCCAATGTTTATACCAACTAGGCCAATGAAGCCTTCTGGAGGACTTTAAGGCTTGCATAGTTGCCCAACATTTTCAGGTGCTCCTAATTAATATATACATACAGTATCATATATATTATTTGATAATTAATATAATTATTTGAAAATCCTGTCCCGGTTTTTAAACAAAAAGAAACAACATTTTTTTTGGCCTAACAACTCCATTGACCTCAGCTTCCCTTTAGTTTATGCCTTACTTTTAACAATTATGTTTTTTAAAAAAAATCAAATTGATTTAAATCACCATTTAAATTTTAATTGATTTCTTTTCATTGAAATCATCAATGAACTGTGATTTAAAAAATTTAAAACAAAATCCACCCTGCGATTTACCTCAGCAACCCACTCTTGTTGGCCAGCCATCTTTTGCTCTCCATTGACCCCCAGTTTTCTCAATGGCACCCACTGACTCACTTGTCACTTTTAAAACTGTCTCACATTCCTCTTGAGGAGGAAGGGGAATATGAATACAGTACTGTATTTTAAAGAAATCCCACATCCATTTTTCCCCCCTCAGCCTCCTGGCACACTTCAGACCCGTTTCATCCATTCTGTTCTCCACCTTTTCTTCTTCAGCCTTCCTTCATTTGCTTGCTCACCTTCACTTTTGACCTCAACAAGCTTTCCTTTCCCTCCTGCTTTGTATCTTTACCCCAGCATTACTCCCTCACATTTTTGTGTTTCCTTCTAGTCCTGTTTTACCTCAGCCTTATTTATTTATTTATTTATTATCTCCCTCCTATTTTTTACCTCAGCCTGGCCTCTTATTATTACTACGCATTATTATTTCCCTTCACTTTTTATCTCAGCCTGGCTTTCCTTATTATTATTATTATTATTTTCCTTCTCTTTTTACTTCAGCCTGGCCTCATTTACATTTATTATTTCCCTTCCATTTTTGCCTCAATCTGGCCTCATTTCTTCTTCTTATGACTATTACCCTGTTTCCCCAAAAATAAGACAGGGTCTTGCCGTATATTAAATTTTGCTCCAAAAATGCATTAGGCCATATTTTCAGGCGTATTTTTATTTTTTTCATGTACAACAATCTATGTTATTAAAATACAGTACAGTAGTCAGGTCATCTTATTCTGGTTGCTGCACAGGGTTGGTGGTGGGGTTTCACTTAACTGGGGCTTATTTTTTGGGTAGGGCTTATATTAGGAGCATCTTGAAAAATCATACTAGGGCTTATTTTCAGGTTACGTCTTATTTTAGAATTAAAATTAAATTAAATTAAAATTTTAGGGGAAACAGGGTATTATTTCCCTTCCCTTTACCTCAATCTTTTTTCCTTTATCATTCTTATTCTCCCTTCTCTTTTTACCTTAGCTTTCCCTTTTTACTTCTGCCTGGCCTCATTTATTCATTTTCCCTTCCATTTCTGCCTAAGCCTGGCCTATTATCATTAATTATTATTAATAATAATTCCCTTCCCTTTTTACCTCAATATAGACTTTCTTATTATCATTACCCCTTCTTTCCTGTGCTCAGCCTCCCATTTCTCAGCCCCTAATTTTACAGAGCGAATGTTTCAGCCCTCATTTTACACCTACAGTACTTTTTTTCCCCCCTCAGTCTTTCTCTTTATTAAGAGAATAATAAATCTGGCAACCTCTTTCGTCCTATTTTACCTCCGCTTTTACTCTGTTTGCTCGCCTTCTACACTTCACTTCCCTTTTTTTGGCTTTTGTACTCCAAACTCTTCTCTTTTTACCTCAGAAACGCTCCTATCGTGTCACCTGCTCGTCCATTAATTTTACCTCAGCCTCTTTCCCTCCCATTTTACCTCAGCCACCCCCTCGTCGCTCTCCTCCAATCGCCCTTCTCTTTGTACCTGCCGAGCCAATTCTATTTTACCTCAGCCTCTACTCCCCACTTCAATTAATTAACATGTTTTAATTCCCTCCGTCAAAGCTTCAGCCCCTCCTCCTTCCCAGTTAAGCTCTGAGGAGAAAGACACCCTCGGTATTCTCGCCCGAGCTTTACGCATTTTGCGCAGGGACCGCACAGCCGCCCCCCTCGGACGCCTTTGGCGTGAGCGCGCCCCTCAGGTACAGCGCCGGGCGACTCTCGTCCTTCGTCCTCGAGAACTCTTGAGGGAGCAATTTATGGGCGGTGGAAGGAAAAGAACGCGACAAATTCACACGCAACCCCTTCTGCGCCCCTTCCCCACGTTCGGCTGGGTTAGAATTACGGACTTTCCGTAAAGCCTGCGAAGGAGGCGTTCCTCCCCCAAAAGGTAAGAGAGGAAGCCGCGGAAAGTCGATAGTTACGTAGGTGGCGTACGGAGGGCCGGCGAGGGAACAGGTAGGAAGCGGTGGGGGGGGAGTAATTTACGCTAACTGCGTTGGCAGCGGCGTGGCCTGGGGCGACGTTCGAGATGAAGCTGTCGCTACGTCGTTTGCGTGGAGAGCTACGCTGTCAGCGTACTGCGGCTTTGCCTCCCTTTCGCTCTCTCTCAGGTGCAGAGAAGGAGGGAGGGGGGCGGGCTCACCGTTGCCCGGCAGCCCTGGTCCAGGCCCAGCCTATGGGGGCGCTGGCCGCTGTCACGTGGCCGCGGAGCCCCCGAAAGCTGCCTGCTGCGGAGCTGCAAGAGCCGGACCGAGCCGGGACAGGGACGGGGGCTGCGTGGAGGCGGGTAAGACCCCCCCCCTCTAATTCCCGGCGAGGAGGGAGGGATGCAAGGCCCGAGGAGACTACTTAGGTCTCGAGGAGGCGGGGCCCTGGGATATCGAAGGGGAAGCGTTCAAGATGAAAAGAGAGGAGGGGGGGCGTTGCAATGGAAAGCAAAGAAGGGGAAGGGGCTCGATCCTGCAGCATGGGAAAGGGTCGATTGGAGAGATGGCAGTTGGGAAAGGGGAGGGGGACTCTGGAGGTTGCCGTTCTCCACCTCGCACGCTAGGGACGCCGCTCCCATTAAAGACCTGGGGCTTACCCACGAGTAAATATGCCTAGGAGGGCGCTGCGCGGAGCGTGGAGAGGTGAGAGACCTGGGGGGGAGAAAGGGGGGGGGTTTTTGAGGGTGGGGTGGAGGCTTTAGGAAGAGGTCACAAGGCTGGTAAAGCTGCTGCCTCCGCTCCTGTCGTAATAACTGGCAGGAAGGGTGCAAGGGGCAGGAGGTGGAGGTGGAGGTGGGGGAGGGGTGTTGTTCAGGCAGGATCCAGCAAGAAGGATCTTTGAGGTCAAGACACAAAAGCTAGTGATTCGAGGAGACTCTTGGAGGAAATGAAGGGGATCTGGGGCTGGAAGTGATGTTGGGGATGGGGCAGAAGAGAGACTGTGGAAGAGGGGTGGAGGGGGTGATGAGTGCCTTCAGGGGCAGTAGTATGGGTGAAGCTCCTAAAAGGGGGTGGACATCCTTTTGTGACCCTCTTTTACCCTTCCAGGGCGCCAGGCTGTTCCTGAGGCAAAGTGGCAGGCAGGGCAGAAAGTCATAAAGAGCAGAGCTATTTTCTGCAAGGGTGTGAAGGGGAGAACAGAGAAAATGAGTAATCAAGACCTTTGGTTGACAGTGAGGAGTGGGGGGCAGGCAGCATAAAAGCAGTAGGCGCGGATTGGAAGGAAACTCAGTTGAGGGGGGTGCTACTGGACCAGTTTGGGCGGAGGAAAGGGAAGGCAGTTGATTGCAATGGGCAAGAGCAAGAGAAGAGTGGCTGGAAGGGTACCCCAGTGCTAGGTGTGCAAAAGGTGCGCAGTGTGCAACTTATGGGAGTGAAATTAGTGTATTAAACAGAATTCGTTGCTCCTGAGTTGTTCCAGGGGGCATTGCAAGTAAGGTAAGATGTCCCTGAGTTACATACTTGAGACAAGGATTATTTATTTACACCATGATCATCCTATTGGATTTAGGATCAGCATAATAGCACCTCTGTCCTCTAACATTTTCTTTTTATTCCACATTTGAGAGGAATTTAACCAATGTATCTTTCTTTGCCTTCTGTGAAATCACTCCAAGTATCTGCGGATGCGAAACTCGTGTGTACAAGTTTCTGTAGAACTTTCGATAGTGTGCTATTGTGCACCACCACCTATATAACACAGATTTCTTTCCTCAAGCTACATATCTGGGCCTCAGAATCACTTCATCCTGTTCCTGCTCTACTTTTGCCATCTGGCTGGAGGTTTTTTTTTTGTGGAAAGACTGGTTACCTTTTTTATAAACTTGGGTATGGTACTGTATCCAGCATGGGGAAGCACCGCAGGTTTACATAAATGCTATTTACCTAAATGGTTCTAACCATTACAGTGTTGGCTTATTGCAACTGTAACATTGTCTTGGCTGGTAAGGTTTTGACCCTCGTGTAAGGTTTTGTAGAGTAATTGCTGGTTCTTGCCATGGATGGATGAATGGATGCTTCCAGGGAGAAAAGCAGTACTGGGAATAAGGGAAAATGTAAAAGGTGGGTTTGTGAATGAGTGACAACTTCCAATTCTTTATGCCCTACTAGTATTAGATATGCTTCAGCACAGAGGTGAATTTCTCAGTATAATCATCATGCATATTTTAAATTCTGGTTGTTCAATAAAATTCCCCTTATGAATAGCTTGGAGTAAGTCTGGTATACTCAGTCCAATCTGTGTCAAGAGACACTATCTAGTTATTACCAGTGAAAATAACAAATGGTGCAGTACCATCACTGTCTCAGTATGTTTGACAGGTCTTGCTTATTTAAATAAAAATGAGAGCAAGAAAAAAAAGAGAGAGAGGAGGGGTGAAATTTAGACAGAAAACTGTCTTGCTACTCCTTACCCCCAGCTATCAAAATTCAGCTTCGGTGCAGCTGGCATGGCGCATCATATTGTCTCTCAGGCTGACCTGATTTTTCCAAAAATGAAGCATCTGCGCTTCCTGGTGGCTTCCGAACACTCTGTGCTCTGCCTGAGCAGCAGTTCCAAATTGGGTGGCAGCTCTTTACTTAGACCTTCGCTGCAAAGGCTCGCAATTTGCTTTTGCTGCTCTAGTCTTCTCTTTTTCTGGATTTGCTGTCTGCTGATTGCTGTTAATCATTAAACCCAAGGTTTGGAGTAGGCATTGGGGAAGATGGCAGAAAGAAGGAGGGGAGCCCTCAGTAAGAAATGGCATGCTGGGGGTGCAAAATATGGGAAAAAAAGACTTTTGCTTCCTGCTTCTTGAATCCAGTGGTGGGTTTTTCCCACTTTCCTTTGGGATGATCTGCCCCTGTAAGCTTACAGTCACGCCAGATTTTTCCTTTAGTGTGCTACAAAACTTCAAACAAAGCTTCGTTTGATCTCATTCTGTTAATTTTTTTTAAAATCTCTTAGCTGTTTTGCTCAGGGAAATTTGTTAACATTTCCTAGTTTTAGCTAAGGGAGGCACTTTAACTGCATTTCCCCCTAGAATTTAGTCATTTCTTTGATACCTGACACTAATAACACAGTAAATATCTGTTAAAATGTGTGTTACAAGCTGTAAAATGTGTTTTACAAGCTTCTTCCAAATTATGGCCACCTGAATTGCATTTTCAAACTATATGAGAAATCTAAGAATGGTTTTAGCAGTGCCACCTTCTGCTGAATTTTTATGGCCCAGGAAGGATTTGAATCCGGGCCTCTGGAGCCCTATTCTGTTACTGTATCTGCTACACACCACATTCACTCTGTCTGATAAATTAAATTTCCAAATTAGCACCTATAGGTGTACTTGCTGTTGCAGAAAATACATATTTCTCTATGTTTTTATTAGTAGATGCATTGGTCATTCTCTCCTGCTAGTTTTCAAAATTTCTCACTTCTCCAAGTGTCTTTATGTTAATTTTTTTTAAAAAGTTGCCCTTTCGAATAGCCTTCCCTAGCATGGTGGCTTCTTGATGTTTCAGACTACAGTTTCCATCCTCACATGGCAAGCTACAGTATTATTGATATTTTCTCTTCCTGGACCTGAATGTGGGATAGTGGATAGAATATTGGACTAGGACTAAGGAGATCTGGATTCTCTGGCCTGGAAACACTTGGTTCTGATCCCAGATGGATGGATTGGTCTGCAATCATTCTTGTGGGATGAAAAAGTATATAAGAAAAAAAAAAGACTTTTAACTGCATCTTAAAGACATATATACCTTTATTTTACCATGAGCTGTCATGGTTAGATAACCTGTACTAAAATAAAAGTCTGAAAACATGCTATAAGATTATTTATTTATGTTATCCTGGAGTAGCATAATTTGTTGTGTGCTGTTGTTTCTGACTTACGGGGATCCTATGAATTGGTTATCTACTGTCATGAAGAGCCCTGCTCTCAAGTCTTGCAAACTCAAGCATGTGTTTGGTCTTCCCTTTTTGTTGTAATGTGCTCTCAAGTTGGAACCAACTTATAGCAACTCTAATAAGGCTTTCAAGATAAGTGATATATTTAAGGAGTGGTTTTACCAGTACACTACTTACAAGGAGTGGAAAGGTGGTGATCCATGTCCTTTAGACTGCATTTTGTGGGAATCGTTATGCATTGTTAAGGTGGCTGACACTTTAAAAGGTCCTCACTTTTTCCAAGGAGAGGACAGTAGAATATCTGATGCGGTTAGGGCGCTCTAGTGACCTCTGTGCAATGATCCGGTGAAATGGGTTTCGACACAGATCTGCCAGTGAATGTTGTGGCAGGGCGGTAATTTATATTTTGGACTTTGCTAGGCAGGTTGGACGTGGTGTGCGCTTTTATCACGTGACTTCCACTCCAGTTTTAGACAAACTTCTGATTACTGTTTGGAAGAGCGGCAGTGCTTAGAGGAATGAGACAATCAGAACAAAAATAGCCTGTGCGATATCGATTTGGGGTTTTAAAAAAATGTTTTTGTCTAGCAGGAACAAAAAAGCCATGTTCAAGAGCAATGCAGGCAAAATTTTGAATAAGGTTTAGAAAACTCCTGGTGCTGTAGAAATAGCTTTTTACACCAGGTAGGAGGCAGGTCTGTTTAAGAAGAATCTGAAGGACAAAGTGGAATGTATGTCTGGGTGCCTGATGGATAGAAAGGGCAACTGTTTAGCTTTCCATCTGGAATAGTATTTTAAAACAAGTAAAAGCAAACAAGTAGATGTTTTAATCTAATTTAAATTTACATTATTCAGACTTGTTTACAACAGCAATTCTCAACCTTTCATGTCTTAGATCCGAGTAGAGGCACTGTCAACAAACCTGGGTCCCACCACAGAAAATGTTGGCAGAGGTTCTGTTATTCCAATTATTGTTTGTGTTCCAGCTCAAGAACATAAAATATTATGGTAGTATCGTTGGATGTAAACACAATCAAAAACAGTACAGTGGTGCCTCGCTTAATGGGCGCCCCGTTTAACAACGAAATCGCATAGCGATTAACTTTTTGTGATCGCTTTTGCGATCGCATTGTAATGTTTAAAATGGGGAAAAATTGCTTTGCGATGATCGGTAGCTTGTTTCGCTTACCGATCATCGCAAAGCGATTATTTTTTAACAGCTGATCGGCTGTTCCAAAATGGCCACCGGGTAAAAAAAAATGGCCACCCGCTATTTTCTGGGACGGATTCCTCGCTTACCGGGCAGCAAAAATGGCTGCCGTATGGAGGATTTTCGCTTAAAGTTGAGTCTGAAGCCCATAGGAACACATTGAATGGGGTTTCAATGCATTCCTATGGGCTTTTTAATATTGC